CAGTGGTGAGGGCTGGAGGGTTTCCTGGGCTGCTTCCCTCGCTCCTGCTGGCTCTGCCCGGCACAGGTGCCTCGTTCCTTCTCTGTGTGTCTGGCTGGGGGATGACGTGTGTGTCAGGAGATCCCTCCTCCTGTGGTTGCTGGAAGGAAAGGAGCATTTTTCTCCCCTGAAGTCACCTCTCCCCACCCCTGCAGGATGTCTGCACAGTAGCTGCCTCAGCTCGGGCAGGTGCTGTGGCAGCGCTGGCAGGACTGCCCGGGCCGGGGCAGCGCTGCTGCTTCCCTGTTTGCCTGGCTCCTGAGCACGACACTCCTTACAGGCAGCAGTAGCACCCTGTGTCGCTGTGCCCAGGAGTGGGATCACTGGCTGCAGGCAGGGTGGGAACACCTCCCGTGGCAGTGGCACCTCCAGGGTCTGACACAGCCCCTCCACAGCCCTCCTGCTCTTGTAGCTTGGCCACTCTTGCTGCAGTTTGGTTTCTTGAGCTGAGTTCAGGCTTCCCTCCTCCTTTGTTCTTCCCACTTCACGGCAGTAGGTTTCCATGTCTCTGTCCTGTGCCTTGGGTAGGCCACAGGTGTGGAAAATCTCGTTGGAGACTCGTGTAGAGATGGTCTTTTCCTGTCTGAGAGAGAGAGGGGATTTTGCAGCGGCCCAGCGTGATGTTCACCCACCCTTTTCCCAGCACTGCAGCATTAACAGAACTGCAGAGGCAGGGAGGGAGTCATCTGTGCCATGTGTTAGTTGTTAATTTTAGCTTTACCATAACTCTTGATGACAGGGCTTGGTTGTTTTCTGCTGTAGGCAGCATGTAGCAGTTATCCTGGAGATCTTACAGCCACGGTGTGGCCGTAAGACAGTAAAGCTGCAGCTCATCCCTGAGCTGTTGCAGGGTGTCCATAGCCAGATTCTCCCCTGGCTCCCACAGCTGCTGCTGCTGAAGTTGAGAGGCCATATGGTACCACTTTTCTTGCAATTGTGCTAAACCTCTGCCTTCAGGTTACGTAAGGATGGCATTAGGCACAGCCTGAATTCCACATGTGTCTGAGGACAGAGCTTGGCCAAAGGTGGTTGTGTACCTGCCAGGTTACATTCTGCATTTAACCTTTCTCTACAGCCTTTTTCCTAATTCTGGGTGCCTGGGGAAGTCTGTATAAAGTACCAGCCTGTACTGGCATGGTCAAAAGAGCATCCCAGGATTAGCTGTACACTGGACAAGTTCTGGAGGGTGCTACAGGGAACTCTTACAAGTACACACTGAAGCAAATCATACAGCTTTAACTCCTTCTCTAGGTTGTTGCTGACACTTGGCTTGTTATAATGCATTGCATTTGGTCTCGAGTTGGGAGCAAAATCACTGCCTACATCAGAAAATACCCGTCTGATTGTCTGCTGGTGCTGACAGTAGTGTTTGGTGGTGCATGAGTTACCCAGAGAGCACCGTGCCTCTGACAGCTCTGTTGCCACACAGTGCTGGAGGCTCTCCTGGCTCGTGTCCAGAGATGATGTTCTGACTGCTGTTCAGGCTCAGTGAAGTGGCCTGCTTAAAGGTGTGGGGAGCACTGGCCCTGTGCTGTAGCAAACTCCAGCAGGGAGTCCCTGGGAGCTCCTTTTTATATCATTTGTGCTGGTCATCTGCTGCTGTGGTCCACAGTGTGTTTGTTCAGTCTCTCTCTTTGGTTAAACACCATATGAGGATGCAAACACCACTGCAGCCAAGGAATGCTGTGACTCTGTGCTCCTTCTCAGGCAAACTTTAGGTATATGCAACATCTTGTAACAGCTTTTTCTAGCTAAAGAGAGACACCAGATCCGTAGGGAGCTGATGACTTGGGTGGAAACGTAAGAGTTGATGTGTTAAAGGGCTGGAGGTACAGCTGACTGCTTGAAACAGAGGTGCTGGGAGGGGCAAGGAATCCTATAAAGGCTGAAGTGGTTGATCTGAAGTCATGTCAAGTGGAGTGTCAGAAACAAGACATGCTTGTGCTGTAGTCGAACATTATTCATAGGCATTTTAACAAGCTTGGGAATTAAATATGGGGGGGAAAAAGTGATGTAGTTCTTGTCAAGTCTTTCACAAGCTTGCAGTGTGCAGTCTGGGCTGTGACTGGTGGAAAGCCAGACCTGAATTGCCATATAGTCAGGGCTTTTCCTGGGCACTTATGAACTCACACCACTCACACTGCAGCTGCATATACATTTTCCAGAATACACTTGTGGAATTTTACATAGGCTTTTTTAGCATGCTAATCATCTCCATGGTCACTCATTCCTGGAGTTAATGACTAGTCTCTTAGAGCAAACAAGTTAACAAACTGACAGCTGCTCCTAACGAATCACTTGCTTGGAGAGGCCAATGCAAGTTTAATATCCACAATAAATCCTTCTGCTGCTGCTCATGGTTCAGTGGAGCAATGGCAAAGAAATGAGGTAATAACTTTCATTTATCAAAGCAGTTTGGGCTGTAGTAGATTTGTACATGAGAGCTCATAGACAGAAATGCCAGAGAATTACAGGCTGTGGATTTCTGCTCCTCTTTGGGTAGTATGAAGTGTAAATGGGAAAATGTAGGTGTTATAGGTCTCTCAGCATAACCTCACAGTCAGACTGTCAATAGCTGCCAGTCCCCAGGTACATGGTTGGCATCAAAAGCTGGGCAAGAAGCGTGCAGGTATCTGGGGAGCTCTGGGAGGGCTTTTCTCTGCCCTACCAGGAGTGAACTGAAACCTCACACCGAGTAGGGAACAGAAGCAAGAGGAAACTTGTTCCAGGTGTGCATCTCGTGTTCCCTGTGGGTGTGCAGCCCCTCCTGCCCTGTCTGGGGGTCCGGGATCACTGCAGAGCTCCTGGAATGGGATGGGACAGAGCAGGTTGGTGGGTGCTGTGCTCTGCTGGGAGGAATTCCTGCAGCTGCTGCCTCGCAGGACCTTTTCCAATCACAGTGCCCACAGTAATCAATAGCCATCTTTGATCAGTTAACCATTAACTCATGGCAAATAGCAGGGGTTTTCCATAACATTTGGTTATAAATAAATAAATTGCAGCCTTGGATAAGGCAACAGATGTTCCGAAATTCCCATTTCTCCTGTCAGGGCTGAGCTAGCCTAAGGATTGGCATTTTCTTAGCACTTTGTTTGCAATAAACTGATGGATCTAGTTGGCAGCTAGTTTGTATTACACATTTAGCTTGGGGCATTGATAGCTGCTAATATTAAACTTATAGTTGTTGCTTCACTAAAATACTGAAGTCATGTTTAATATTTAAAAATAGTAATTATTAGATTTTTTTTTTTAAATTATCACTTCATTTGACAAGTATGTTCACAGTCTAAAATGGCAACACTGTGCCAGGATGTTGAGCTATTGAATGAAAGGCTAATCTCCCTTCATGATGTGAAATAAGGGAATTAATGGTATAGACACCAGGAAACCCATGGTTTAATGAATGGTCTTTCCATTTAAGTATTGGCATTAGTCCTGTGTATATACTTGCCAGTATCCCATTTAACCTGATCATCCTACACAGCCCCTACAGGTGTTTGTGCTTGTGCTGCACTGCCCTGAAGCAGTTCAGTTTAAAAATGGTGTTGGTTTGGCATGGCCAGATTTTGTGTTTTCCATGGATGTGTATAAAATGTTCACAGCACAGCAGGGGAGAATTCTGGGTGATAAAAGCCCAGTTTTGTATGTTCTTGAGTTCCTAGGCTCTTGGGTTTTGTTGATGCCAGTGATTAATGTCAAGCTTGTGCATGCATTTGTAGAAATAGGGTCTCAAACAGCACATGGAACACAGCAGTTTCTTAGAGTTGTGTGAGGCAAAAAAATCTCAATTTTTTTATTTTCTACTGTAGTATTTAAGAAAAGATCATACAGCCTTGACTTGAGATGTACTGTCCTGCTGCAATGGAATAGAGGCCAATGGACATCTCAGAAAAACTTAAAAGTCAGTAGTTCTGAGTGTGTGACAGAACGATGTGGATTCTCCAGAGTTTCATTTCTTCTTCATGGGAATACAGAACCAAAGTGATTCTTGAATTGTCTCTCTGCTCTGGTTTCGCTTTAAAAGAGGTTATGCATAGGTAGAAATAAATGCATAGGCAATAGACTCTTAAAACTATAACTATGAGGAAACAGCTTTAAAACAAACAAACAAAAAACCAAAAATAACCAAACCACCTCAAAATCACCTCTTTGTAAAGCTTACTGACATCATGACCTTCCCTGTGCGTCTGCCATGTGTGGAGCTGACCACTGACTTTGCCAGTGCTGTGCTGGCTCCTTGTGCTTTGGTCTGCTGAGGACTCCCTGGGAACCATCCCTGGCATCGCCCAGGGCAGCCTGGGCAGCAAAGGGGAATTTCTGACCCCACTCGAGCAGCATTTGTGCCCTGAGGAAGGTAGGAGCTTTGCTCTTCTGTGTTGTAGGGTGCCAGGTTTTGTTTGGGAGGTTACATGCTCTGTGAACAGAGAGTTAAACAGGTAATAAATGTGGCTGATAGATCCACTCCTCCAGTACTGTGTGGCTTTCTCTGTGGACCAACACTCCTGGTGTTGCGTTTCTGGAGAGGGGCAAAGAGAAGCCTTTTGGGTTTGAACTGAATTGTTGTTTTATTAGTGATTGTTGAATATTATGTGGTGGAGCACTTAGTTGGGAAGGTCCCACTGAATTATTTCTTGGGTAAGTTGAGTTATTTGCAGAGAGTGTAGATTTTCTCTCCTTTCTGTTTGCACCTGCCTCCTCTGGATTTCTGTCTTAGCTAGCCTCAGTCTCCATGGATTGAAACACCAGCAGAGGCTTGCCCCCCTTAATTTTGGGTTAATTTCCAGGCATTTGTTTCCCTCCAGCCGCCTGCTGCTCTCTTGGGTACTTGAATCTATTCAGAGTGAGGAGCTCATTGATTTAGGGCCTGATGGGGGGTATCATGAGTGTTGTGAATCAACAGCCTGGAGCTGTTTTTAGGAGCTGCTGAGGGTTTTAACTTTGATTCTCTTTCTGTTTTGTAGGTATTTGTATAAAGTGTGGAAAAGGTGTGTATGGAGCGAGCCAGGCTTGCCAGGCAATGGGTAACCTCTATCATACCAACTGCTTCACGTGCTGCTCTTGTGGTAAGTCAGACCTGCCGTAGCCTTATTATGTGGCTTCCTTTTGTTATATCTATTCCTTTAGCAACCAGTGCACAGGGTGAGACTTCATCTTGCCTGCTTCCTCAGGCAAAATTCCCACGCAAGACTCCAGCTTCAAAAGTTGGGGTTTTTTTATTTGCCATCTGTAAGTGTTCAATGGTGTTTTCCTAAGCAGCAGCCCAGAAAAGTAGTGTTTGGTTGTTTTAAGGGCTGCATTTACAAAAAGGCTTCAACCTGGCTGTTATAAGCACTATATGCTTTAAATCACTTGTGTTTATGGAACTGTAAAGTGCATGTATCATTTTTATGGAAAAAAAGGACAGATTTGTGCAGCCAAACACATATTTTTGTCTCTTTCTATTTGCAAATGCAGCTCTAGTCAAGCATGTGTATGTGTCACTTCCATGTATACCCAATGGTCAGAAATTGCTCTCTTATGTTCAAATGTGACAAGAACAAATAGAAACTGCATGTTGAAATATCTTATGCTATTACAGAATTTTATTTTTGTAGGGGAAGACCAGGTGGTAAATCACTGTCTCCTCCATGCTGTTCTCAGGACCTTTTTAGGTTTCCTTTTTAATCTGAAAGTGATGTTTCTGTGTGTGATTTGGGGAAGCCGTGGCTTTGCCAGGGGAAACAGGACATGGAAAATTCAGGGCAGCACTTTCAGAGTTGTTTGCCTTAAGTCAAGCATTGTGAGCTTAAGTTAGAGACTTCCTCAGTGTCTTGTCTGTAACTGCTGAGAGCTCACGAATTCCCACTCAGTTCAAGGGAAGTATGAGAGCTCAATTTTCAGAAGTCAGGTAATTTTTTATGCTTTATGCACACATTTACTTAGGTTCCTGATATATGAAAATATTTACCTGGATGTCGAAGGTCTTGTTGTGATACATATACACAGCAAAAGATTCCTTCTGAGCAGAATATGCCAAGTGGAAATTGTTTATAAAAAGGATTAATTAAGGATTAGGAAAAGAGTCAAAGATTATTGGCATAGAAGCAAATAAGTTGATAATCAAAAGACCATTGTAAAGTTCACTTGTGAAAGGAGAAGTGTTGTCTTTTCTCCTGAGGTAGAGATAAATATTTGTTTAAATAAACCTGCAACCTGACTGTAGAATGTAGCGACCTTTAGAAATGACTGTGGACCATTACCAGATGCTGGGATGAACTCATCCCAAACCTTCAGGGATCGCTCTTGACTTTGCTCAAGTCTGACAGTGAATGAGTAGCTATTTTGTTGGCTCCCAAAGTGAGCAGCATCCTGCTTAGCTGAGGATTACAAAATATGATAGTGGATAATATCTATCCACTCACTGCCAACATTAACCGAACCTAATTGCATGGGTGAGTTCCAGCTTCCTCTCTGGGGCAGAAATGTTGTTTTGAAGTAGTCAGGATGCAAGTTTGCTACCACAGGGATCTGTATGCAGGTCACTGTGTTCCTTAGTAAAATGTGTAAGGGCCAAGAAATGTATTTTAACAGCAAAATACGAACACAACTTGATTATTTAAAAGCACAACAAGCTCTTCTGACTGTTCTGGTGGGGTGTGTGTGGCCAGTGTACATCTCCCATAGGGCGACTCGAGACATGTCTGTTTGGAGCTTCCTTGTGCCCCACCCCAGCGTGCCCTGGAATTTTGTGATTCACGCTGAGTCACCAAAGGCATGAGGAAACAGTGCTCCAGGTTGTCTTCTGAGCCTCTCTGGGCTGCTCTGGGCTGGATGGTCCATGCCACGGAGGGGGGAATGTGTGGGGACTGCCTCACACGGGGCACTGCAGAGGTGGACGTGCTGCTGACAGGGCAGCAGTGCCTGAGTGCAGGTGAAACACTTCATCAAAGCTTGGCTTCATCTACAGCAAGTGGGAGTCAAAAGCAGAGCTTTTCCTCTCAGCTCAGCTCTGAAGGAGTATTAAAATGAGCATAGCTGGAAAAAGGGTGTTGCATTTACTCTTCTGTTTCTTCCTATATTGGGGCTGTGCAGCCCATGGAGTGATTCGGGACAGTGCCAGTAGATCCAGACTTGGCATGCAGGTTCCTTCTGTGAGAACTGCACCCTTGAGTGCAGCTACCAAATGGAAACTTCTTACAGTACTGCTGTTTGTGAACAGGGAGTTAATTCTGTGACATTGGAACCTGCGCTGTAGTTTTGGTGCCCACCTTAAAAGGGATGAAGGTAACTGGAGAGGGAGGGTCCAGAGGCACCTACACAGATGATTATAGGCTGGAGAAGGGCTAATCATGACAGCCCAGTGTATTTTGGGTATCAGAAATTATGGGAGGGAGATGTGGCTGGAGCTTATAAATACCCATAAAACAGCATTAGAAAGTGGTCTCATATGTACTAGAGACAAACACAAGAGAGATCATTTCTGGAGGCTGAAATTACACAATTCAAATAGGAAATCAGAGACGGTTTTTCTACAATGAGGATGATTAACTGCTGGAAGGAAACAGCAAGAGAAGTGGCAGATTCTCTGCTCTTCTTTGTTTTCAAATTAAGACCAAATGTCCCTTTGCAGAATGTTTTAAGTTGAGCTGAGCTTTAGGTAATTGGGTGATCATTAATGATCTTTGTTAGGCGAGGGGTCACAGCACACACTAGTGCTCCTTCTGAGCCTTTGGCAGGAGAGTGGAGCAGGATGATGGTTCTCTCTGCCTAAAACAGCTCCTGTGCTTACTTGTGTGGGCTTGACCCTGGCTGGGTGTCAAGTGCCCACCAAAGCCACTCTGTCACTGCCTCCTCAGCTGGATGGGGAGACAAAACACAATGAAACATTTGTGGGTCGGGATAAGGACAGGGAGAGATCAGTCACCAGGTACTGACACAGTTTATTACCAATCAAATCAGAATAGGATAATGAGAAATAAAAACCGAATCTGAAAACACCTTCTCCTCACCCCTCCCTTCTTCCTGGGCTCTCCTTTACTCCCAACTTTCTCTACCTCCTCCCCTGAGCAGTGCAGGGGGATGTGGGATGGGGGCTGTGGTCAGTTCATCCCATCTTGTCTCTGCTGCTGCTTCCTCCTCAGTGGGAGGACTCCTCACACTCTTCCCCTGCTCCTGTGTGGGGTCCCTCCCACAGGATGCAGTCAGTCCTTCAGGAACAGGCTGCTCCAGAGTGGGTCCTTTCCATGGCCTTTACTGGACATGGGGGAGTTTCTGGCAGCTTCTCACAGAAGCCACCCCTGTAGCTCTCTCACCACCAAAGCCTTGCTACACCAACCAAATACAACTTAGAAATCTGAGAGTAAGAGCACGAGGTTGCCTTTCTTTTGTCCTTCTTTTCCCCCCCAAATAACAATGACCTGAACTTTCCTCCAGCAGTTTTCAGTCTTACTTTCCATATAATGGCTGTAGAGAGTAAAAGGCAATAACCGAAAACAATAATTCTGTACCTAAAGACATCTGATTTAGATAAGGGCCCAATATTTAACCAGCTACAATTAAAAAATAAATAAAATAATATTTCAAACCCTTGGGAAAAGTTGTGGTTTGGAGACCACTCAGGCTGAAATGTGATAATGAGTGATGGAGCCTCCAAGGCCTCATTTCATCACTTGGCAGTGAGTGTTTTCAACTCAGCAAAGACAAGTGCAGTTGTGCAGAGAAGTGGAAATTCTGCCCTAGTCAGAGCCCTTTCTTAGGCACTTCTTGGAGCTGATCTTTGGTTTCAGTGCCAGGTGCTGTCTGTCAGGGTGCCCTGGGTGAAAAGGGCAGCGTGTGGCAGGACAGGCCCTCCTGTGCCTTCCTGGGAGCACAGAGGGCTCGCTCCTGTGCTGTCCTTTCCCACTCCCACCATCACATACCACAGCAGTGCTGGAGGGTTTGTCTTCCTTGCAGGTAAGAGGAAAACCAAAAATACACCCATGGGCACTTCTGTGAGAGCTCCAGCCCTGCCCAGGGTAGGGGGGTGAGGATGGAAGGGTGGACTTTTGGGGGTCTCCTGCAGAGATGGTGATTAGTTCTTGAGGGCACAAACACAGAAAAATGGAGAAATATTTCAAATACAAAGTAAATAAACAGGAGACTTCTGTCCCCTTTAGGCATTTTGGTAGAATGCTCAGATGGTAAACCTCTTCATTGTCTTCCTACATTCTGGCAACTTTGGGGAAAAAACCTCAGTAATGTTGATTCAGAGTTGTACAGGATCTCCTCAAAAAAAGCAAATTTCACCAGTGACCTGAGGTCAAAAGAAAAATAGAAAGGAAAAGTAAATTACTTATCAGGCACGTTTTATGTGCTGCATTTCTGCCTCTCCAGTGTGTTCAGTGGCTTCTGGATAGTTGAGCCTTGCTCCTGGAGCTGAGCAAGTTCAGCATCTCAGAACTCTGTCAGTTAATTTTTGCCACGTCTCTGTGTAAACCCCTGTTGGCTTCTGCAAAAGGCCATGCTCCTCAAATAGCTCTTTTTCAGAGGTCAGATAATTCTCTTCAGGTAAGGTAAAAGCCAAAGTGATCTGGTTTCCTGGGATCAAGTAGTTCAATGTAGACCTTTATCCTCAATCTCCTAGAGAAAACAACTGAAGCTTGTTAGGATGGTTTCTAAATGTAGATTCCCTCTCAGCCCTGACACCAGTAAAACCTCTTTTAGGCCTTGATTCAACAAAACACTTAGCTGTGTTTAAATATGTTATATTACTCATATGTGAACATGTTTTGCTGAATCTTAAATAACAGATATTAATTCAGGCAACAACATACTGTCCCTTCTGTTGAGTGTAAAATCTTAGCTTTGGCAGGAGTTCAGTTGCAAATTTTTTTTATGGAAGACAAGAGCTGAAAAATGTCTGCCTGAAAAGCTCATCATGTAATTCCTCTTGATAGTGTTTCAGAGCATGACAGGATTTCATGAAGAATAATTGCTATAATGCCAGATTGCTTGTGTGATCTAAGTGCAGGTGAACAGTTGCAGGAATTAATGGGCTCTGTTTGATGCTCATTAAAGAAGATAACTTATCTGGTGCCTCCAGTTT